TTTGTCAACAAAAAAGCGCGCCATAATTAAAATGTGCAAGTATGCAAATATTGGGAAATAAATAATTTAAAATAACTAAGTTGACCCAATTCTGAAAAACTCGCGACGTCGGCGGGAGTCGAACCCACACAGTAGAAAAGGCCTTTACCGGAAGCCAACACTCTAACCATTGAGCTACAAACGTCCCACCTCGCGCCATAAATTCAATCACACTTGGATCGATATTACCCGCCCAACTTTGCTGCTCGAATGGAATCCGCCATTACGGGACAGCAAGCTGACGGTCCAAGCAGGATTTCCTAAGCAATCATCTAGAATCCGTCAGAATGACTTACAGGCTGACTTAATTGTTAAAAATAACTAACTAAAAATGAATATACTAACCAAAAAACGTAAACCAAAGTAAGGTAAATTCCGTTAACTAAAAATAATCTAAAACTAAAATAAAAATTAATAAATAGAATAATGAACTGAAAACCGAACTCAAATGTAAATAAATTTAATAAACCAAATAAAATAAACTAATTTAAAGTCGTTGCGCATATAAAATGAAGGTGTGCGCGGGGATTCACGCCGCGAACTATACTAATCTAACTCTGGAATGGTAAGTTGGACCCCGGGTAAATGTAAGTAGACGACCTCAAGAAATCCAATAAACCGCAAAGTATAAGTAAGTAAAAAACGTCCAAATTTTTCACGCTCAAGAAAATATAGACAAGAAATGTAAGCAAATTTCTGTGTTTATGTATGGTGCGTTATTTTTTTGCGAAAACATTAGATTATTTAAACAATTTCTGAGACCCAAGGTAGGATACCAGAGGAAGAACTTTCTACAAAGTTTTTGCATGCACAACTAGAAACGACTGCAACTTAAAGCTTTCTCGGTCCCTCTCCGTGCGTTCATTCCGGAAAGAAATACCGATGTCGTGGTGTGTCATTTGTGAAAAGGCAGCATGAGTGCACCAGTGTCGGGGCTTAGTCCGCCACCCACCCACCCACGGGTCATACCATTTTCGCTCCTGAATCCCCCAATGAGCAAGAAAGTGTACAGGGGAGAAGTGGATCTTTTTTTGCGCGTCTACCCGGAAACAAACTTACTTTTTCGTCCTGACTCCGGCCTACCACATGCGCCGAAATTCTTCCCGAAGTGCAAGCATAAAAACCACAATTGTTGTGCGCCCACCCATAACCGGTGGTCTACTATCTA